ATTGACTTGTTTTGCAGAACTTAAAAGAAGAAGTAATGGTAATAGTAAAATTATTATGAACATGTATGATTTATTGACTACGTACAGTTTAAAAAAGAACAATGATTAAAATAAAAAAAGTTTACAACATGTAAATGTAATTTATTAACTTTAAATTTTCTGCAGCTAGCACCTTCCTGTTTTGAGTTATGACTAATATTAGTTCATATTCATATCTAGCAATCTTTTTACTGGCTGTTTGGTGATGTTTTGACTGAGCTCAATTATCACACCTCCCACCACATATGGCGTTCAAATTTCATGCAGCTAGCGCTTTCCTGTCTCGAGTTATAGCTAAAATTTATAAAAAAAAAATATAGGTGCTTCCTGGCCATTTCAACCAAGCTACTCAACCCAACTAACTCAGCTTCTTCAAACCCCACCCAAATTAGACAATGCAACCAATCATGTYTTTAACAAACTACGTCCACAAAAGTTAAACAGACCAATAACATCTTGGACAAATCCTCCCACAAAACAAAAAAAATCTCTGCCATGAGACTTCAGAGACCCCCTTGTCACTTTGTTGGAAAGTTGGGTATTAAATAAAATGGTACTCCTTAAGAATGTGACTACAAGAAAGCTTTCATTTCATACATGACGCAGTGACGTCATGAAAATTTTAAGTGTTAGTTAACAACATTTCTAAGAGTTGAACAAAATAATGTGTTAAAACCTAAGAGTCGAACAAAATAATGTGTTAAAGTAAAAACTTTTTTTTTTGCTTAAATTGTCAGATAGTTTGTTGGAATAGCCATAAATGCAATGCACAAAATAGCTTTGCTTTGAAGCCCTAATCATGCAGCATGTATGACGTATGTCCAAGAACCCCCCAAATTTTACTGGCTATTCACCAATTCTTTAGCAGTTGAGTTTCCAAACCTTTAATCAACAATAACATTGTTTCGAGCTGTGTGAAGGGAAAAACTTCAACATCCCTGCAGCAAACTTTGGAGCAAAACGTGAAATTCTTAGAAAGTGGAGACATTTAGAGATGTACTCAAAATGCCTGAGAGAAGTCACTTTGGATCTTTTTAGCAGAATTGCTGTTTCTGTCAGTGAACCACAGTCCAACAAGCACACTAATGCAAAGTTAAAAATGTAAGAAAGTTAAAACTTTAAAACATTAAGTAATTGCGTCCTGATCTGCATTTTTACAAGTAGCTTACTTGTACAAAATGCCCTGATAAGTTTGTCAGTTTCATGTTTAAGAATTTTATTACAAGGTGAAAGAAAATCTTATTTGTTTTTTTTTAAATTATTTAAAAGTATCATATGCCATGCTGTATATTTGATCAGAGTTGCTGTTCTAAATAAAATGTATTTTTAAAGTCACTGTGTAATGTTTAAGTTCTAACTCACTCTGTATCAGTTCTCGGTATCGTCGAGTACTCAAACTGAAGTACTTTTATACCATTTGAAAACCTGGTATAAGGACACCCCTAATATTAGTCCATTGTTGCTGTTTTTTATGTATATATAAATGTAAGCAATAATATTAAACTGCCGATTAAGTCAAATTTGTACAAAATGACATAATTACATTTTCAGCTCCCTGCTTTTAAAGCTAAATTTTGATACCTGGATCATCCTGATATCATAAGTGGTTTCCAGAGATATGCCTTATTTTTTTTCCTAATCAGAACAACTTATTGACTTTTGGTCTAAATTCTATATTTAGGTTATTCTGATGAGGAATTTTTCATGTCATTATAAAGAGGGAACCACTGTGGTATTAGTATTTGGAAATTAAGGTTTACCAGCATTAAAGAAAATAAAATGCTAGCTCACACAAAACCACCTCAAAAACATTCTGCTCTTGCTTAGGATATCAGTCTAAACACAAGATTAAAAATACTTTTTGGCTGAATATAAGATTGTAAGACTTGGTCACATGGACAGTTTTTACCAGCATTTCTTCTATCTGCTTAGTTTAAGTTTGGTCTGTGTTTCTCTTTGATCATTGATTCCTGTTGATGTGAGAAGAAGCTAAAAAGTGTTTAAAAAAGTTTTGGAGGAATTTTTAGCCAAGCTGATTATTTTTTTCTCTGCATTTTGATATGTTTGATATGATTTATAAAAACTGGTATTTCATCTTTTTGGAGCAGACCGTGTGAACAGAGATAAAAATCATTTCAAAATGTTTGGAGTAGAGTAGAAGGGGGCCTAATATCTGTTTGATAATAAGAAAATAAAATAATTTGCACTTGTTGTTGTGTTGATGAACCTTTAGATAKGAAAAATAAGAGATGCGGGGCGAATATGCAAATGTAAAGTTAATACCGACACTTTGCCTGCCAAAACAGAAAAAGCAAGGGTAAAATAGGACACATTTTTGGCAGCCCTTCATCAAAAGCATAAAGCAGTGGCCACAAGGGGAGAAGTAAACAGATTAGAAAAGCTATTGACATTTCCCCGTAGCAATGAAGGGGTGTCGAATGGCAGCATGGATGATAAGGTGTACAGGCATTCAGTTCCCCCATCTCATGTTTTATGTATCTGTGATCACAACTGATCGTGAGAGAAATTAATCAATACCGGTACCACCGCAATGTGTGGATGACACATGCCACTGCCCCCTTATATCCACACCTTCATTCTTCTCACCCCCCCATCCATTTTGATTCAGGGGGCCTGTTGTTCGCCCACGTCTAGGTGAGGGATTTTTTTACATCCCCGGCGTGCTTGGAGGAACTCCATATGGCCGGGATCAAAGGTGTTGCTGGGTGCATGGTTCTGCTTGGTTGCCAGCCACCGCCGTTAATTAGAAAACAAGATCAGAGGCGGTATTAAAATCCAATTAAGCCCGTATGAACAGATTGCCAAGTGATGTTCACTAATGCATTACTGAGCACCATGCAAATTTTAGTGGCAGCATTTGGCTTTATGTTATGTGTTTGTGTCATCAAGTGTGTGTGTGTGTGTGTGTGTGTGTGTGTGTGCGTGCATTGGGGAGTGTGCTTGAAACTGTGCCCGAGTGTGTCTATGCACGTGTCACTTGCTGGCTATTCAAGGCTCTGTGACATTGCTTGATCTTTTCCCYGATACACAGCTCTAATCTCATATAAACAATCAGCTAAAGCCCCGCACAACAACAACACCTCTCCTCACAATGAGATTGGATGATATTGCTTCTTACAATTAAAGCATAATTGAGAATGCTGAATTATTGATCCATTGTAAGCGAGTTCTCGTCATTTGATTTGAGTGAGAAACTAATATGATGCACAGAAAATTCAGCAGATTTGGATTAATTGCTCAAGAGCTTTTGCGTTTTCAGGCCTCCCCCATTTGGTCGCCACCGTCCATTTAAGGCTTTCCGTTGAAATCGTGTTCAAATTTCGGATAGCTGTCAGCAGACAAAATTAAACCGGGTTAAGGAATTGGATGAGGCATATTAAAATGCGTACGTAAAATCATTCTGCACAATAACTGCCAATTTAGTCCATGAGTTTCATTCACGCAGCCGACAGACAGGGCATCTGTACCAAAGACTGACAAGTGGATGCAGCTGGTGGCCTATGGCCCGAAGCATCCACATTATCACAGACGAGGGCTGTTAATGCTGAGCTGAATGGGAGCCCCTTTTGAGATACAAAATAGCATTCTGATTAGAAAGCCAGGAAATACACATTTGAAGAGCCGGAAATTGTCACAATGCAGAACCATGGCACATTTGGCACAGTCTCAAGCTGGGGTATAGAGGACTGAGATCTTAACGAAAAGACGTGCTCAATCAAACACATTGAGGTTCCTCACGTTATACGGTTCTTCTACAGGATATGTTCTTTGTGTCAAAGTTTTCTTCTTAATATGATAATCAAACTGAAAAGKGCGGGTGCGATTTGTTGGAGTGATCCTTCTTAGAGCTCACATTTTCTTAGGAGGCAAGATAACTGGTCTTTTAGTTGGCACATATTTTTTTCTTTTATTTTTTCGGTGCTAAACTAAAATTTAAACCAGTAAAGAAGCAACACAAAAATGCATCCCAATCATTGTATTACCAAGCTGGTCTCTGGGTAAATAAATCTCAAGCAAAACTAGGTGA